CCACTGAGGCAATAGAGGGGATAAAATCAGCAGGACTTAGAGGCTGACATATTCGGAAATAACGGATTCAGAAGACTGATTCTGAACCTGGATGATGGGAAAGATGAGGCCATGAATAAGGGTTGTAATCACAGGAGATTTCCTGGAAGAGAGATGAGACATAGTACAGGTTTGGACATTTAGGAATTTGCAGTGCCTAAGGGACAACCAAGGGATATGTCTAACAACAACAAAACACACTGGGCATCAGTGAGGTTTATTTTTTGATCAGTGATTGTAGCCACCTCCAAAGAGCCTAGACCTGACCCTTGACCTTTAAGTTCCAAGTGGCTTCCCTAGGCCAGCTCTTTCCCTATTCATTTTATAAACTTTTAAATATTTTATACCAGTGTGTTACAGTGGTGCTGGTGACAGAGATGAGAGGGCTGATCTCTGTTTTCAAGGATTCCAACGAAGGATGGAAACAGAAAATGAAATGGATAATTAAAAAGAGATGGTAATATTCAGTACTGGCCAGTGAGGGGGTATCTAAATCAGACTGAAATGTCAGGGAGGGACTGCTAACACAGTTTACTTAAATTTAATCCCAATCTGGAAAGATTATTAGGATTAGCTTTGTGAAGACTTGTAAGAAGAATGTTCTAGGCTCACAGGATAGTCTGTACAAAACCACAAAGGCACAGAATAGCTTGACCCTTTCTAGGAACTGCATATAATTTGGTATAGCCATAATGCAATGCAGGTGGAACCACTGAAAGATTTTAGTCAGAGAAATGGCTCTTCGCATTTGTTTGTTTTTGTTTGACTTGAGTTTTTGTCTGCTTAATGATATGTTTTGATTTGCATTTTAGAAAGATCACTGGTTGTTTGCTCCTTCAGGCCTTGTTGTTTTTATTTTTTGAGACAGAGTTTCGCTCTTGTTGCCCAGGCTGGAGTGCAATGGCATGATTTTGGCTTACCACAACCTCTGCCTCCCAGGTTCAAGTGATTCTCCTGCCTCAGCTGGGATTACAGGCAGGCGCCACCACGCCCAGCTAATTTTGTACTTTTAGTAGAGATGGGGTTTCTCCATGTTGGTCAGGCTGATTTCGAACTCCTGACCTCAGGTGATCCACCTGCCTCAGCCTCCCAAAGTGCTGGGATTATCGGCATGAGCCACTGTGCCCGGCGAGGCCTCATTTTTAAAAAAAAGTAATTGGGCCCCGTGCAGTGGCTCACATCTGTAATCCCAGCCCTTTGGGAGGCTGAAGCAGGGGGACTACCCGGGGTCAGGAGTTTAAGACTAGCATGGCTAAGACGGTAAAACCCCATCTCTACTAATAATACAAAAATTAGCTGGGCATGGTGGTGCACGCCTATAATCCCAGCTACTCCAAAGGCTGAGGTAGGAGAATCATTTGAATCCGGGCGGCAGAGGTTGCAATGATCTGAGATGGCGCCATTGTACTACAGTGGAGGCAACAAGAGTGAAACTCCACCTCAAAAAACAACAAAAAAAAATTGAATCACTGGTTTTGGGCAGAAGATGGACTGGAAAAGCTGTCTTCTCTGAAGTCAGGAAAGCACCATGTAGAGTGGAAAGTCACTGGAATAAAAGTGGTAGCTGGCACCCACTGGGTGCAGTGGCTCACACCTGTAATCCCAGCATTTTGGGAGGCTGAGGCAGGCAAGTCGCCTGAGCTTGGGAATTCATGACCAGCCTGCCAACATGGTGAAACCCCATTTCTACCAAAAATACAAAAATTAGCCAGGTGGGGTGGTACATGCCTGTAATCCCAGCTACTTGGAAGTCTAAGGCAAGAGAATTGCTTGAACCTAGGAGGTGGAGGTTGCAGTGAGCCTATACCAAGACACTGCACTCCAGCCTGGGCAACAGAGTGAGACAATATTTCAAAAAATATATATATAATAAACTGGCTGAAAGAGGATCCAGGGACAATATGTGGAGTTACAAAGGGAAGAAGGGGATACTGTGACTTAAGGGGTGAGCAGTACCCTCAAAAGAGACTCAGAAGAATTAGGACAATAGAAAAACCAGGAGTGGCGGGGTGCAGTGGCTCACGCCTGTAATCCCAGCACTTTGAAAGGCTGAGGCGGGCAGGTTGCCTAGGGTCGGGAGTTTGAAACCAGCCTGACCAACATGGTGAAACCCCGTATCTACTTAAAATACAAAAATTAGCCAGGCGTGGTGGCGGGCACCTGTAATTGCAGCTACACAAGAGGCTGAGGCTGGAGAATCACTTGGACCTGGGAGGCAGAGGTTGCAGTGAGCCAAGATTGTGCCACTGCATTCCAGCCTAGGTGATAAAGAGAGACTCCATCTCAAAAAGAAAAGAAAAACCAGGAGAGAGTGAAGTCACAGGAACCAAAGGAGGAGAAAGTTTCAAAAAAAAGTTTGAACCAAGAGTTCTAAAGAGAAATCACCTAAGATAAGAATCCTGAAGGCAATATTTGGGGGTAATGAGAGTGGAAACCAGATCTCAGAGGAAGGAAACGGGAGGTAAAGCAGGGACAGCAAATTCTCACAGCTGTGCTGTAGCCTTAGGTTGGGTCTGTTGGCTTCTCAAAAGAAAATGTTTAACAACTATAAATAATATTATTTGTGCTGTCAGGGAGGTCACAGTCCATCAGAAAACTTCATGTTCCTAAACATACACAGAAGAGCTGTCCTTGGGGTAGGCATGGGAGAGAGGGAGATCTCTAGGGAAGAGAAATAGCAAGGATTGACTGGGTCCTTTGGAACCCACTCCCTTCTTAGAGGGCAGTGCCTGTCTGCTGGGTGCATCTCGTGGGATACTGTGGCTGGCGTTCTGAGGGCAAGAAATATCCTGCTCAGAGAGGTGAGGGAGAGGCATTACCAGTGTTTTCTCTATCAGATTGAGACTTTTCATATCAAGATTCTGCTCTGTTTTGTAAGTTTTCAGTCTTCTCTTGATTCTGTATAGCTTTTTTCTAAATGAAAAACAAATGACAATTCATCAAGTTTTGAATGACAAAAGACAGGCTGATCCAATCTGGAAACGACAGAAGTTGAGGTGGGCTGGGCATAGTGGCTCACACCTATAAGCCCAGCACTTTGGGAGGCTGAGGTGGGAGAATCACTTGAAGCCAGGGGTTTGAGACCAGCCTGGGCAATATAGTGAGACCCTGTGTCTACAGGAAAAAAAATTTTTTAAATAGCTGTGAGTGGTGGCACATGCCTGTAGGCCTAGCTACTCTGGGGGGCTGAGGCGGGAGGATCGCCTATGTCCAGGAGTTTGAGGCACAGTGAGCTATGATTGCACCACTGCATTCCAGCCTAGGCAAAAAGTGAGATCCTGTCTCTAAAAAAAATTAAAGTAGGCCAGGCGCGGTGGTTCACACCTGTAATCCCAGCACGTTGGGAGGCTGAGGCAGGCAAAACACTTGAGGCCAAGAGTTTGAGACCAGCCTGGCTCATGGAGAAACCCCATTTACACTAAAAATACAAAAATTAGCCAGGTTTGGTGGTGCACGCCTGTAGTCCCAGCTACCCAGGAGGCCAAGGCACAAAAATCACTTGAACCCAGGAGGCGGAGGTTGCAGTGAGCCAAGATCACACCACTGCACTCCAGCCTGGGTGACGAGTGAGACTCCTCTGTATCAAAAAAAGGAAAGGAAAAAAAAAAAGCTGAGAAGGGTCTGAGACACTGAGCAGCAGAATCAAGATGTAAAGGGATCTTACTGAATCTTTAAGAACAAAACTAATAAAGCAGAGAGCAATGTTAAGTTTGATATGTAACCTGCACTTGAATTGCTTTGGGATACTGAATTGATTGCAAACTCAGAATGAGTCAGCAGTTTGGTAGGGCTTCCAAAAAGTTAAGATGACTGGATTCATTCATAGACTCCAGCAAGAAAGAGTGGATAGTCCCTCACTCCTCCAAACCAGTGAGTGCTCAGTGGATTCCATTGAGTTCTAGACACCACATTTTAAGAAGGAACTGGTGCTATTTAACCTAGAGAAAAACTGACTCAGGTGAATAGTCTGTCTCTGGTTTTCAGAATGTCACATAGAAAAGTGAGAAAACTTATTCTGTATATTACCTGAGGGTAGAACGAAGACCCATTCCCCACAGGGGTCCCCTTCTTACCTGATCTTATTCGTCTTCCTCAACCTGTACTCTGGGAACTTAGTAGAGAAGAGTTTTAAAAGGATAGGAATAAGCAGTCTAATTCAGACTCCTTTATATAGGGGGTATAATAAAGCTGTGGTTGGGAGGACCTAATCCAGTAGCCAGGGTCAGCTCAGCCTTGAAAACTGATAAATAGGCGGAAAGGAAGAACACATTCCCGATGGGAAAAGCAGTGTACTTCATGGCAGGGATGGACTGGGAAGGGTAGGGTCAGGGAGGGCAGGTGTGGAAAGTTTGAGGGGAGAGCAGCCTGGCTTGTAGCAGGTGTGGGCACCTAGCGCACTAAAATTAGATTTTATTCTGGGAGATAAAACAACATTTGTATCTTGAAGCTAGTTGATGTATGTAAGAAGATTCTGGTTGTAGTGGGACTGGCTTCGTGGCAATTCATTCATTGAACAGATCATTGTTCACTGCATACTGTGTGCCAGCCTCTGTTCCAGGCCTTATGGATCCGGCAGTGAACAACATAAAATTCCCACTTTTCTGGAGCTTTGAGGAGTAATGGGCAATAAACACATTTAAAAGACAAGTTTTGATGGTGAAAAATGCTGAAAAGAAAATGAAAACAGGGTAATGGGATAGAAAGCAACTTGCCAGAGGGGCTGAGGTAATCAGAGAAGGTCTTATTGAGGGGGTAGTATTTGAGCTGGTGCCTGAATGGTGAAAAGATTCAGGCAGAAAGAAAAGCAGGTGCAGAAGGCCCCAAGATGTTCACGCACCTGGCGTTTAAAGACAGTGAGCCAGGGAGAAAGCAGAGGTTGTGTAAGCACTGACTGGGGATAGCAGGAGGGTGGAGCTTGAAAGTGCCATCAAAGTGGATTTGGAAACACCTTCCTAATGGGTTGTGGTCCTGGTCCCCCATGACTCTTTGATGTAAATAAGGTGAGGGATAGGAAAACCTGGCCTGATACAATTTCATATGTAGTGCAATGTGGTAAAAAGAACAGTGGTTCTGAAATCGGACTCTGGCTTAGGCAGAATTCTAGCTCTGCCACTTCCTAGTTGTGTGACCTTGAGCAAGTACTTTAATCTGTCTACATTTCAAGTAAGAGAACTAATTCCGACCTCAGAGCTGGTGAGCCCCACTGCTGGTGAGCCCTCACCAGAGCTGCAGGCCGGGTGCATGCTTATAGCGCCATCTTGCGTTTACTTGGAGGTCCACAGTGTTTTGTTGGAAGTGCAGTCCATCCACTGTCCCACTGCAGTGTCCTGGACTTTTCTGTTCTAAGCACCATGTTTTGAGGGACATTGACCTGAAGACTTGCTGAAAGCACAGGAGAGGACCCCCAGCCTTGGGGAACATACCTCTGTTCAAGGGAGCAAATGTGAACTCTTGAGGTTCCAATGCCAGGATCATGAAGAGTGGGAGTGGATATGGATAACAGGAAGGCTGCAAGTAAAGAACTATCTTACTATAGTTAGATTTGCTCAAGAATGAAATGTGCTGGCATGATTGGAGATAGGATAATGAGCAAAAGCTTAAAGTCAGTAATATCTGAAACATTTTCCTCACTGAAAATGTGTGACTGTTACTCCAAGACTTTAAAACAAAGAAAATGGTTCCGCCATTGACAGAAATAGAAGTGATTGGAAAAAAGGAGAAAGGTGATGGATGAGCTGCTGTAGCAAATGTTAACTGAAAGCAGAACTCTAAAGCAGAATGATCTAGAGGTGATGTACAAGCCAATTGCTTCCTCCTGGAGTGGAGTCAGCCTGCGGTAGACCTAAGAAATCAAGGCAGCTACTGTGTGAAAGTACAGGCAGCTCAGGGGCCAAGGGGATGGCCCAGGCCTGTACCTGCAAAAGCATGTTACTAGGATGTGTGTCCCAAGGTGGACTTAGGGTGAAGCAGGATTTGGAAGTAGTGCTGGAATGGAGAGGATCAAGATTTACAAAGTCCAGAAAAACTGAGAAAGCCAACTAATTTCCAAATAAGCCAGATGTGGGTTTAGGAGTCATCCTATGGAAGTCTGAACTCAAACTGTGCAAGAAAGAAAGTGTAAAGTGAGATGCAAGCGTCGAGCCTTAGGATACACTCACCTTTGGAGTCAAGAAAATGCAGAGGGACTGAACAGCAAAGAGGTACAACACAGTTGTAAAAACAGCATCATAAAAACAATAGGAAATGTTTTACAAAAGAGGGGAGCAGTGTCCCATTCCACGAACTTTTACCCATTCAATTCCTGCCAGCCAGGTCCCTGCCCCTCTCCCCAGAGAGCATTATCTCCCATCTTTGCTTCTGGGTCTTCTCTCATTAGGTTTTGGTGTCTGTCTACTGATTCCTTCTCCATCCCTTTGCTACAGGGGGTGGCACTGAAAGCCGACCAGTCCTTCGCTACAGCAAGGAACAGAGGCCAACCACGCTGCCCATCCAGCCCTTCGTGTTCCAGCACCACTTCCCCAAGCAGCTGGCCAAGGCCCGGGCCCTCCACAACCTTTCCCAGCTCTACAACCTCTCAGGCTGCAGCCGTACACAGCAGCCTGCCCCAGTGGCTGCCCCCACTGCTCAAGTCTCAGTCCCAGCTCCCTCAGGGGAGCTGCAGGCATCCACTCCCCGAGCCACTGGCAGAGGTGCCAGGAAAGCTGGGTCTGAGCCAGAGACCTCTCGGCCATCGCCCCTGGGCAGCTACTCCCCCATCCGGAGTGTTGGCCCCTTTGGGCCCAGCACTGACTCTTCTGCCTCTACTTCGTGCTCCCCTCCCCCAGAGCAGCCCACAGCCACAGAAAGCCTGCCCCCATGGAGCCACTCCTGTCCTGCCGTCCGGCCTGATACCTCCCAGCAGCCGCAGAAGGAGGATCAGAAGATACTGACCTTAGCTGAGTACCGGCTCCATGGAACAGGAAGCTTGCCGCCTCTGGGCTCTTGGCGATCTGGCCTCAGCCGAGCAGAGAGCCTGGCCCGGGGAGGTGGCGAGGGCAGCATGGCCACCAGGCCCAGTAATGGTATGAGATCCAGCATCTCCCTCCCAAACCCACCACCTCACACAAGCACTTCCACCTCCCCTTTCGAGTGGTTTCTTACACTCTCACCTGGGGCCAGAGGTTAGGATGTCCACCTCCCTTCCCCAGCATCTGTAGATAATATCCACAGATATCCTAGTGTTTCATAAGGGCCCACTGGGTGGATGTGAAACTCTGACTCGGTGTCTCCTGCCAACTCTTGTCTTTCTGCTAATCTGTTGTGCTTCCAGCCAACCATCTATCCCCTCAAGCCCTCAAGTGGCGGGAATACAGGAGGAAGAACCCGCTAGGGCCACCTGGTTTGTCAGGGAGCCTAGACCGAAGATCACAAGAAGCTCGGCTGGCCCGAAGAAACCCTATCTTTGAGTTCCCTGGCTCCCTCAGTGCTGCCAGCCATCTGAACTGTCGGCTGAATGGTATGTGAGCAGGGTTCCCAGTACACCCGGGGCAGGCTCTGCCGTGGCTAGGAAGGGTTAGAAAAGGGGTCAGTCCCAAAGGAACATGTCTCAGATGGTACAAGGCACTGAACTGGGCTGGAACTCCTGCACCGTTGCTCAGGATTGATTTTTATTTTCTTTCCAGGCCAAGCAGTGAAGCCATTACCACTGACCTGCCCTGACTTCCAGGACCCCTTTTCCTTGACGGAGAAGCCTCCAGCTGAGTTTTGTCTGTCCCCAGATGGCAGCTCAGAGGCCATTTCCATTGACCTGCTTCAGAAAAAAGGTGCATATAACCCCGAGATCAGGCCAGGGACTCTGCTGTCACTACCTCCTCACATTTGCCCTATTACGTAGCCTGTCTTAAATCTCTGAGTGCTGGCCAGGCGCAGTGGCTCACACCTGTAATCCCAGCACTTTGGGAGGCTGAGGTGGGTGGATCACTTGAGGTCAGGAGTTCGAGACCAGCCTGGCCAACATGGTGCAACCCCATCTCTACTAAAAATACAAAAAAATAGCTGGGGGTGGTGCTATGCCTGTAATCCCAGCTACTCAGGAGGCTGAGACAGGAGAATTGCTTGAACCTGGGAGGCAGAGGTTGCAGTGAGCCAAGATTGCACCACTGCACTCCAGCCTGGGCAACAAGAGTGAAAACTCTGTCTCAAAAAACACAAGCAAAAAAAATCTCCAAGTGCTGGGAAGGAGTTGGAGCACTCAGGCACTGGGGCCGGAGGAGGAAGCTGTGTGCTGTGTATCCTGAGTGCGTGTGGGTGAGCAAGGGTCTTTCATCAGAGACTTGAAGAGTCGAGCTCCAGTCCCTTTCCATAGTGAAAAAAGTCTAATGAGGCAGCTTCCATGTCATTAAAAAATGTCTCAGTGTCCTTGGAGGGGTGGGTGAAGGTACTAGAGGGCCCAGCAGCTTGGGTAAGCATGTTGGTGATATCTAGTAAGATCAGGAATGACAAGAAACACTCTATTTAGCAAATAAGTGATCACTGAACTAAGAACATTTTTAGGGAATTGGAGAGAACCAAGCATAATTGTGGGCTGAAGAGGAGTCTGTGAAGAGGGAGAGAGACAGCTGAAGTTCCCTGTGAAAGCAGAAAGGGAGAATCAGAGGTCAGGGAGAAAGAAGAACCGGGCAAGAAGGGGAACAGCCACCTTCCTCCAGGACATGAAGGGGATGCGAGTGAACAAGGGAGCGAGGGGTGTACATACAAGACTGTTAGGATTTTGGAGGCAGAGGGAAGTTAAAGGAGTTTATGACTAGGGGCCTCTTCTCTAAAGCAGGACCAAGGGCCTGAGAGGAGGGGGGTAGATTTTGCATGGCAGTTTGAGGGTGTTGCAGAGGGTGCTGACAAGGCACATATCAAGGAATCGCCCTTGTCTGGCACTGGTGTGAGGGACTTGGGTTTTCTTCAGGTCAGTGGCCTGGTTTCTCAGAGTGGAGAAAACTGATAGTTAGACTGACTCAGGATTGAAATAAGAGGGCTGAGAGGTGAGGACATTGAGAGACTTAACAAAGGCGTCATTGAGGTGTCACCAGGCTGGGAAGTAAAGACAGGAAGTGCTCAAGAACTGGGCAGACCCAGAAAAGGGCCAAGCCTAAAGGTTTTACAGAGACCCATGTGCAGGTGTGAAGACTGAGTAAGTGTAGGAGCACTTTCCCACCCCCACTGAGGTTTCGGCCCCAGCTGAGTTGGCTAAGGACTTTCTCAGGGACCTGTCACATCACATTCTTTCTTTCAGGGCTGGTAAAAGCTGTTAACACCGCTGTGGACCTCATTGTGGCCCATTTTGGCACAAGTCGGGATCCCGGGGTGAAGGTAGGCAAGGAAATGTGGAGAGCTGAGCTCTGCAAGCCCTCGCCTATCCTGCGCCACCACCTTCCTTTGCTGTCTTGCATTTAGAGCCCACAGTTGGGCACTTAGGAATGGGGATAGCAAGAGGGGAACCATGAGGGCCTGCTACAAGAGGACCACGGGCAGGCCTGAGGGGGTTTTCTGCACTTCCCTACTGCACCCGCAGGCAAAGCTGGGAAACAGTTCTGTGAGCCCCAATGTGGGTCACCTCGTTCTGAAGTACTTGTGCCCTGCTGTCCGAGCCGTGCTGGAGGATGGGCTCAAGGCCTTTGTACTGGACGTTATCATTGGGCAGCGTAAGAACATGCCATGGAGTGTGGTTGAGGCTTCCACACAGCTAGGTAGGTGCTGGGTGGCAAGATGGGGACCCTGGGCTGAATTTAGGGTTCCAGAAATTGGTCATGTAACCTGCAACCCTGGCTTCCTCCCAGGCCCATCCACCAAGGTCCTGCATGGCCTCTACAACAAAGTCAGCCAATTCCCAGAGCTCACCAGTCATACCATGCGCTTCAATGCCTTCATCCTCGGCCTGCTCAAGTGAGTACACAGAGCAGCAAGATCCCCTAAACAACCTGCCCTGCTCCCCAGGCTCTGCCTGCGCCGAGAAACCAACTTGTTGGACTGAGACAGAAAGGGTGGATCTGCAGGGTCTTGGCCAGCACACAGAATCTGTCCCCCAGCCGGCTATTGCCTCTCAGTATGTCACTGCTTTCCCACTGTGCCCATGACTGACGCTGGTCACCAATGTGGTCTTCTGCTTTTACAAATATGTCATCTGGCTTATTTGAAAATTAGTTGGGTGTCTCAAGTTCTCTGGACCTTTGTAAACCCTGATCTAAACCCTCATCCTCTCCATTCCAGCACGACTTCCAAATCCTGCTTCACCCTAAGTCCACCTTGGGACACACATCCTAGTAACATGCTTTTGCAGGTACTGGCCCGGGCCATGCCCCTTGGCTCCTGAGCTGCCTGTACTTTCACACAGTAGCTGCCTTGATTTCTTAGGTCTACTGCAGGCTGACTCCACTCCAGGAGGAAGCAATTGGCTTATAAATCACATGCCCATCTATCTCCCTCCACACATGCTCACTGACTCTCTGGAATTAAGTGAAATGAATCCTGCCATGGAAGGGAGAGTTCAGCTATTCTTCCCGTGCTTGACCCCCCTGGATCTGCCTCCTTATCTGGCTTTATTCACAGAAGACTCAACTTTCTTCACCTGTCTCCCTACAGCATCCGGTCCCTGGAGTTCTGGTTTAATCACCTCTATAACCACGAAGGTAATGCCCAGAACCCTGCTCTGTTGCATAAACTCAACCAGGTCAGAATTCAGAGGTGCAAAAGAGGAAGGAAGAGCTGTCTTTTCATTGCTGGAGATGGGGAGGGGGGCCCTACAACCATTCATCCTCAGAGCCTCGGGCTTCCCCCCAGGCCTTCCCCAGCTTCTGCTTGAGTTAAAACCTTGGGCTGGGCATGGTGGCTCATGCCTGTAATCCCAGCACTTTGGGAGGCCGAGGTAGAAGTTCAAGGTCAGGAGTTCGAGACCAGCCTGGGCATCATGCTGAAACCCTGACTCTACTAAAAATACTAAAATAGCTGGGTGTGGCGATGCATGCCTGTAGTCCCAGCTACTTGGGAGGCTGAGGCATGAGAATTGCTTGAACCTAGGAGGTAGAGGTTGCAGTGAGCTGAGATTGCACCATTGCACTCCAGCCTGGGCAACAGAGCAAGACTTGATCTAAAAAAAAAAAAAAAAAAAACCTTGGAGCCAGCAGGATACTTCAGCAATCTGGAAGTCAGAAGTCAGGTAACCTGCAATCCTGGCTTCCTCCCAGCCCCATCCACCAAGTCCTGCATGGCCTTGAATCCCAGCATCTTACTCCTTTAAAGTCAGGGCCACTGCCTGGGGTTGGAGAGTTTAGGCATTGCACAGCTGCGGACAGCAGCATTTACACTGTAATACGTGCAAATTGCCTAGTGCACGGCCTGTGCCACTGTATGCAGCAGCTCTGCCCAGGCTATCTTTCAAAGCCCCACTCAGGCCAGGCTCTGCTTTTCTGTGTGGATCAGTCCCTTTCTCTTTTCCTCTAGACATCATCCAGACCCACTACCAGCCCTGGGGCTTCCTGAGTGCAGCTCATACCGTGTGCCCTGGCCTCTTTGAAGAGCTGCTGCTGCTGCTACAGCCCCTAGCCCTGCTGCCTTTCAGCCTCGACTTGCTGTTCCAGCACCGGCTGCTGCAAAGTGGGCAGCAGCAGCGGCAGCACAAGGAACTGCTGCGGGTGTCCCAGGACCTGCTGCTGTCTGCCCACTCCACGCTGCAGTTGGCCCGGGCCCGGGGCCAGGAAGGCCCTGGAGATGTGGACAGGGCAGCCCAGGGGGAGCGGGTGAAGGGTGTGGGTGCTTCAGAAGGTGGAGAAGAGGAAGACGAGGAGACAGAAGAGGTGACAGAGGCAGCTGGGGGCTCAGGGCGTGGCAGGTGGGCCCAAGGCGGGCATGCCGGCTGGTGGTACCAGCTCATGCAGAGCTCCCAGGTCTACATCGATGGCTCCACTGAGGGTTCCAGATTCCCTCGTGGCAGCAGCAATAGCAGCAGTGAGAAAAAGAAAGGGGTAGGAGGCGGGGGGCCTCCCCAGGCTCCACCACCCCGAGAAGGAGTAGTAGAGGGGGCTGAGGCCTGCCCTGCCCCTGAGGAGGCCCTGGGCCGGGAAAGGGGCTGGCCCTTCTGGATGGGGAGCCCCCCTGACTCTGTGCTGGCTGAGCTGAGGCGTAGTCGGGAGAGGGAAGGGCCCGCTGCACCACCAGCAGAAAATGAGGAAGGGGCCTCAGAGGCTTCACCTGGAGGCATCAAGTGGGGACACCTCTTTGGCTCCCGAAAAGCCCAGCGGGAGGCCCGGCCCGCAAACAGGTGAGAGCCTGCCCAAGGTAGGTATGGAGGAAGGGAGTTTGCTCTAAGCTGGGACACAGACACAGCCCAACCTGGGCAGAGCCTGAGCCCGGCTGCTGTCTCCTAGACTCCCCTCGGACTGGCTGAGCCTGGACAAGTCCATGTTCCAACTAGTGGCACAGACAATGGGTGCCCGCCGGGAGACAGAGTCCAAGGACAGCCTGCAGGAGCCACACTCTCCAGCCCTGCCCTCTAGTCCTCCATGGTGAGCCTGGGGAAATGGAAGGGCTGGGCTGCTGGGGTTGGCTTTTGATGGAGTTTCTCTGACCATGTGCTCTGTCCCCAGCGAGGTACAGGCACTGTGCCACCACCTGGCCACCGGCCCTGGACAGCTGAGTTTCCACAAAGGAGACATCCTTCGAGTGCTGGGGCGAGCTGGAGGAGACTGGCTGCGCTGTAGCCGTGGCCCTGACTCTGGCCTGGTGCCACTGGCCTACGTGACATTGACCCCAACTCCAAGTCTGACCCCTGGAAGCAGCCAAAACTGAGGCCTTGTGCATGCTGGTGGCCTCAGGGGCCCTCATAACCCCCAGACTCAGAGCCCAAGAGCCCTTCCCAAGCCCTCGGCTTGGCTACAGAGAGTAGACGGAGAGCTGGGGCCAAGTATCCCTGTGCTGGCACCTGCTCCCTGTGCTCAGTATTAATTACGCCCCCTTAACTGTCCCAGTGACCTCGTCCAGACCTCCACCCAGGAAAGGAGGGACGGGATGCAGCACTGGGCTGCCAGGATTCCCCTGGCCCGTCTGGGCCAGCCCTTTCATGGGTGTAGACAAGCAAGTCCCATGGAAGCAGGTGGCCCAGAAAGCCATCTGCAGGGTTCCCTAGGCCAGGTGGAGATGAGGATGTGTAACAGTATTGGGGCCAGATTCCCTAAGCCCCCAGCTGTAAATAGGCTGTGGCCAGTGCCTGGTCATCAGAAGAGGGAGGAGGAGCCCAGGTGTCTGTTTATGTATGTATTTATTTATTTATTATACCTATTAATAAAAAAGGTGCTCAGCCTCCAGACCATTTTATCTTCCTGCTTCCCCCACCCTCCCTCCCACCTTTCTTCCTTCCAAAAGGATGGCTGGGATAGATGAAAAGGGAAGGGAAAACTTGATGTCCAGGGGCCTAAGCCAAGAGCTGCTTCTGGAAGGTGCTGAGGCCCAGAGCATCATGAGTGAGATGCCCAAATGTGTGGCCATACTGGAACTTATACCCTGTGTGGCCAAGAGAGTCTGTCACATGTAGCCAGCAGCATGGCAAAGCCATTTCATTCTCAGCCAGCTGGCTAGACATCCAAACAGCCCTCTAAAATCTGGTCCTAACTTATTCCCCACTGTGGGTAGCTACCTCAGTTTGCTTTTCTGCCTAATGATAAAGCTGAACCACATGATCTGAGCCCTCCCATATCTATTAGTTCCAACCACCCCCCACCTACCCAATACCCATACGAACATTCCAGTCCCCAAAGCCTCCCCCGGGGATCATCTCACCTGGCACGTAGCCCCCATAGTTAGGTAAAAGACCCAGGTTCTGTGGGTATGTCCTGGGAAGTTGGGGGAGATGTTTGGGGTCTTTCTGGGCACTGCCCAGTGAGCGCTTCTGCCCAAATTCCTGCAGTGCCTGGTTGGTGAGCACAGGAAAGCTGGAGCCAAAGAGGAAGCGGGTGCGGGGCACATAGCCGGTGAAGCCTGGGGATGGGGACACTAAGCCAACACATCCTGGGGCCTCTCCACGCCTCTGATCCTGACCCCCCTGGCTCTCACCTGACATGAAGAACTTCTGAGGGTCCCTGTCATCCATGGAGTAGGGAGAAGCCTATGAGAGAAGCCCCTGTGCTCTCACAAGCTCCTAGGGAGGTGGAGCTGACAGTCAAACACATATCCCCTAAACCCACAGCCACTCTACTCATGGCCGCTCCCAGCCCGGATACACAATAAGGCCCCCACTCCCACCCCTACACATTGCCCACCAGCTTCTTGGTCTTACTTGTTCTGCTGCCTCCAGTGCTGGCTCCTCCTCCAGCTGTCCCTCTGGCTCTGGCCCTTGGTCCTTCTCTGTGTCCTTTTCTCCCTTGGCCTTCTTTGGCAGCTCTTCACTCCCTTGCTTTCCATGCAAGTGAGTAAAGTCACTCAGCGCCTCGGCCCAGACCTGGCTGCAGTTCTTGGCAAAGATGAACTGTGCCCGGGGTACAAAACCTGGGTTGGGGGAAGGAGACAAGGAAAACTCATTAGTGTTTGGGTCATATGCTCCTGGGAGAGGGTACCTGTGCATACCTGTGTACAAACCTGTGTACCCAGGGATCATGCTGGAGCTGAGCCTTTGGTGCCCACGCCCGAGAGGCAGGCTCCTCCTGGGAACCTCAGTTGATCTTGGAGGCCGAATGGGAGGCAGAAGTGTGCGGTGGACTGTGGGCCAGGCTAGGCCAGGAGGGCCTCGAAGTAGCTGAGCAGTCGCCTGCCCATAGGTCTGGCCCATGCTGAACCGAAGTAGTGGGCAGTGTCCAGTGTACCTGCAGCACAGACTCACCCACTCACCAGAATCCCCCTGCCCTGCCACTCCCCAGAGGCAGAAGAAGAGACATCTGGAGCCCAGATCTTTCTGGACTCAGCTGTGTATATATTTGGAGCAGGCATTTCTAAGTTTTCTGCCTGGGCTTTCGATCCTTCCTCTCTGCTGTTACCCTGTTCCCATGGTGAGAACAACACAAAGCTTTGGGGCAGACCTGGGTCTCACTAGTCCCTTGCTTCTACTTTTCCATCCAATACCGTAGAGACCTCAGCCTCCCAAACCAACCTGTCCGCTTGGCCCCATACTCTAGGCAGCATAATTCCTCCACCCCTACTCCCAGCAGCAAGTGGGGAATGCTGGGTGGGAGTCTTACCCCGGGATATAACGAGGGTTCTGAGGGTTGAGCCCCGGTATGAAGGTGCTGGCCACAGCCATGGGGAGCCTGGCAGTTTCTTTTGTTTGCCTTTGAGCCAAGGCTCTGGTCTGTGTGTACCGTGTCCAGGGTTGCGGGGTCAGAGGAAGGAGGTGGGGCTAAGGGAAGAAAGAAGGGAGCGGGCACTCGTGTGAGGACAGCCAGGGCCAAGGTGGGCAGAACTGTAGAGCAGAGGCTAGAGGGTCTGTCTTTCCAGGACAAAGGTGGTCCTGCATTGCAAGGCAGGGCCCGAACTGAAGGAAGCCCTGAGGTGGGAAGTGGGAGATGAGAGAGCTGAAACCATTCAGGCCACTGAGCTCTGTCTCAGTGACTTCCTGCCTGAGTGCCTGCCTGGGATGTGGACACTGTGCTCCTCGTGAGTCTTCATCAAAGGAATGGGAGACCTGGAGAAAGAGGGTCTGAGGGAAGCCAGGGCCCAGAGGGGAGGTGAAAGAGGACAGGTGATGGGGGATAAAAAGGAATCTAGACACCTCTAGGGAGTAACATCATTTATTTTCAATAATTTAACAAGAGTGGCTTACTGAATACCTGCTATAATCAGAATCATCCATTCAACAAAATGAGCCACGCTCTGCTAGGCTCTGGCCATAGTGGCCAAGTGGGCACCCCATGGGAGCCAGAAAAGCTGTGGGGGATTGAGGGAAGGAAATAGGATAAAGTTTGGGGGGGGGAGGGGTGGTTAGACTAGGAGGCAAGTTAGAATTTGTTTAAAAAAATGATTTCAATTCTAAGAGAAGAAAAAGTACAGACCAAGAAGATGAGTTCTCAGAGGAGGGGGAACGTGATTAAAACCCAGCTCTGGACTGGGTACAGCTGTGCTCACATCCAGGTACTGGGGAGGCTGAGTTGCAAGGATCACTTGGGCCCAGGAATTTCAGTTCAACCTGGGCAACACAGCCAGACCCCACCTCAAAAATAAAACAAAACAAAAAACAGTTGTGGGGCTGGGTCAGGGCCAGGCTGAGGGCTCAGGGCCAACCTTTCTGAGGCAGAGCTCTGTTCCTCTCCCTACCTCCAGTGATGTGCCTGTGCTGACCAAGGGCAGCACTGACATCCCAGGGGAATTGCACAAGAGCGCTGGGCCCCAAGGCACATTTCATGTAGGTCCTCACTGTTCTGCCAAGGACAGCCTTGGAATGTGTCATTTAGAGTTGAGGGAGACTCACCTCACAGCTGAGGAAATATGCTAGAGTGAGGGTGGGAGCTGAGGGGAGAGCCCGGAATAGCAGCAGTGTGTCAAGCTTAACAACCAGACTTTGGCTTTTGTGACAGACACTATCACAGCTTATTACCTATTCCTCACCCCCATGTCCTTTCTTCTGAGGAGCCAGAAACTTCATCAGGGAGGCTTGGATTGCCAGCCTGGAGGAATGAACCTGGATTAGTCTAAGCTCCTTCCCCATGACTGCTTAGGCACAGGCTTCTGGCATTCTGGATAATATGAAGGAAATCTGCTGGGGCAGGGGAGGGTGCTGGGAAAAGTTTCTTTGCTCTTAAAAAAAAGATTCACATCAAATTAGAGCAAGTGAGAGAGACAGGGATGCACAACATGAAACAATGTCCATTCCTGCCCCTAGACTTTCAGGGGATGTGAGGATGAAATGCTGGCAGGCAACTGGAAGCCTTGTAGAAAGCTGACCTGGGGACAAGGCCTGGACATATCAAGGATGGATGGTAGAAAAGAAAGGCCAGGGTCCTGAAGGTAATGTAGGGCCATGGAATTAACCAGCCTTTTTATGTGAAATAGTGAATTTCATTATTAAGGCCACTTTAAGTTTTCTTTTACTTAGAGCCAAAGGCATCATAATTTTAAAAAAACAAAATGGCCAAGCATAGTGGCTCACGTAATCCCAGCACTTTGGGAAGCCAAGGCCAGAGGATCATGAGGTCAGGAGTTCGAGACCAGCCTGGCCAACATAGTGAAACCCCCTTCTCTACTAAAAATACAAAAATTAGCCAGACATGGTAACGCACACCTGTAGTCCTAGCTACTCAGGAGGCTGAGGCAGCAGGATCATTTGAACCCAGAAGGTGAAGGTTACAGTGAGCCGAGAATGCACCACTGCACTCCAGCCAGAGCAACAGAGTAAGACACTATCTCAAAAAAAAAAAAAAAAAAAAATGCTTCAAATCCTTCACCAGAGATATGGACCTTGGCCAAATTCATCTCATTGAGCCTCAGTTTTCTTATCTATAAAATGGAAAAACATTACCATCTCATAGAGTAGGATATCAGCTAGATGAGATGATACATAATGAGCTTACAGTAAGTGCTAACCAAGTAACAGTTCATGTTGGCATTTGGTGGGAATGGGAGGAAGGAAAGGGGCTGAGAGCAGTAACAAATATTGGAGGTTCAGGGGAAAGAGTCCATGAAATTGAAAAAGGGAAAGATTTGAATGGAAGTTGGGGTATAAATTAGGACGTAGGGACTAGAACACATTCTACAGAAAAGACCATGGCAGTTAGAATCAGGGTATGAGTTAAAACACAAGTTAGGAAACAGATTAGTGTTAGTCTCAGGTTTATAACTTATGAAGAAACAGCGCTATCCAATAGGTAGAATGGCCTGTTACTATGATTGTTTCTATCTGCATAAAGAATTTTTCTAGATCCCTGAAGGGTGTTCTAATCTGAGAAAGGAGTAACAGGGCCAGCTGAGGGGCCACAGGAATGCTCGCTGCCTCTGTGCCTCTTTCCAGGAACAGGCATCACAGTAACACAACCACAACTTGCTCTGATGGGAGCTGCCACACCCAGTGGCCAGTGTTGGATGTGGTGGTGGAGAGAAATGTTTAATTGGAGATTACGAAGGTCCATTGAGGAACACCAGGACAGCACCTCACTCAGTCCTCACAGCCTGCTGGGTCCCCACAATGGCAGCCTACAACTTTCTGTTCTGCCTTTGATTCTGACCAGGAATTGCTGTAAAATTTCATACAGATTCCCAAATCACTAGCTTGTATGTCAACCCTGGGCAAGCATGAATCTCCTTTGCAAGGATGAATAAAAAGAAAAATCACAGGACCTTTGAAAAATTTTCCTAAAATCAACAGTCCACCAAAATTGAAATAAAAAATGAAAAGAATAAACTCTAAAAGATTACATGTAACACAAAACCTTTGTTAGTTTAAAAAAAATACATGCAGACGCATAAAACTGCATAAAAGGAAAGCAAGGGAATAATAAACATAAGTTTCAAATGCTCAGATGGTGTGAAGCAAAAGGGGTGGGAAAGTGGGAACCACATGGTTAGATGTATGTTATTGTCAAAGTTTCAGTTTTTGTTTGAGATGGTTTTCAAAAATGCTTATAATGGGCCAGGTGCAGTGGCTCATGCCTCTAATCCCAACATTTGGGGAGGCCGAGGTGGGCGGATCACTTGAGGTCAGGAATTTGAGACCAGCCTGGCCAATATGGCAAAGTTGCCATATTGGCAAATTACCATCTCTACTAAAAATACAAAAAATAGCCAGGCATGGTGGTATGCACCTATAATCCCAGCTACTTGGAAGGCTAAGACAGGAGAATCACTTGAACCAGGAGGTGGAGGTTGCAGTGAGCCGAGATCGTGCCACTGCACTCCAGCCTGGGCAGCAGAGCATGACTCCATATCAAAAAAAAAAAAATGCTTATAATGTATACATTTTAATAAAGGGTGGACCAATGATGAGAATGTGTCAAACCAAAGATTTTTACTATTGAAATCTATGCTTTTGAGGTTGAAAGAAGTGTGGTATGATCAGAAATAGTGGTATTTGGAGGGATCAAAGGAAAGGAAATGGTCTGGTCTCTATTCTACCTTTTTCTTTTTCTTTTTTGAGACAGGGTCTCACTCTGTCACCTAAGCTGCAGTGCAGTGGCATGATCTCAGCTCACTGCAATCTTGGCCTCCTGAGCTAAACTGATCCTCACACCTCAGCCTCCAGAGTAGCTGGGACTACAGGTGCATGCCACCACACCCAGCTAATTGCTGTTTTTTTCATTTTTGTGGTTTTTTTGTAGAGACAGTTTTCACCATATCCTGGCTGGTCTTGGAACTCCTGGGTTAAAGCGATCTGCCCTCCTCAGCTTCCCAAAGTGCTGGAATTACAGACATGCGCCACGGCACCTGGCCTGGCTTTTTTACATATATAACATTCTTCAAATCTGCGAGGATCAATATTAATTTATTCAGCCTACTTATTAACTATTTCTACCAGGCAGTTGCCTTATAGATCAATATAGACAATGCCTAACCTCAATGATTGAGCCACTCTAAAGAAAAGACAGAGGTACAGAGAAAGAATAAAATGAATACCACAATGAAGATTTAAACAAAAACAACTGACCTTATATTAGGCCACGAAGAAAAATCTCAAAAATTCCAAGAAGCACAAAGAAACCACATTTCCTCATACAAACACAATTTAAAAATTTTAAAATAGGCTAAACAAACAAAAACCTAACACTTAGACATTTAAAAATACTCCCTTGAGCTGGGCATGGTGGTGCATGTCTACAATCCCAGCTGCTCAGGAAGCTGGGGCAGGAGGATCACTTGAGCCCAGGAATTTGAAGCTGCAGAGTGGTACTATGGTCACACCTGTGAATAGGCACTGCACTCCAGCCTGGGCAACACAGCAAGACCCTGCCTCTTAAAGAAATAAAATTTTTTTTAAACCCACCTTAACTATTGAGGCAAAGAAAAAATTCCAGTTATATACAATCATTTATAAATACACGAGAATTCAATCAAATCTGAATTCAGAGGCAATTTTTAGCTTCAAATGTATACTGGCCTCATGATTGAGAGTATTCATGATTGAGAGTATAGGCTTGATCCTGGCTCCATCACTTATGAGCTGTACAACCTTGGGCAAGTTAGCAAACCTCTCTGTATCTCTTTTTCCCTCCTCTATAAAATGAGAATGCTAATAGTGTAAGGATTAACTTAAATGGTACAATAAAGCAGAATAGTTGCTGCACCTAATGAGCTGTCAATATCATTACTAACAACTGTTCTAGTGGGAGCTTCTCTAAGAAACAATTGTCTGCTTTGGCTGGTCCCAGTAAAAGAAGAGAGTCAAGAGTGAAAGGAAGAGAGGATATCTTAAGGATGGATAGATTTCCTGGGTATCCAAGGAAGGAACTATACAGCCTGCCATATAGCCAGGCCTCAAGGAAATTGGAATTGAGAACTTGAACGCTAACAGGAGCTGAGGCAGCTATTTTCACTCTCACCCTGGGGCCACGTGCTTCTCTCTGCACATCTGCTCAGTGCTGTCTGTCTCTGTCTGTCTCTCTCTCTCCCTTTTCCAAATGGATTTGTCACTACCAGTTTCTACTCCCTCATAACTATGGTGTGCATGTGCTCATCAGGAAATCTCTACACCCCACATTCCCCACCATCTCTACAACGGTGATTTCTTAAGCAGTGTGTGCTGCAGAATTACCCAGAGTTTCTACATCAAACCCATAGAAAAGTTGCAAGACAAATATAACTTTTATCTAGATTTACCAGTCGTTCACATTTTGCAACTGAGAAGTATAGTCTTCCATGTGTCACAGAAGGAGAAACAGACACAGGTGAGCATCGTCAACTGAACCTCACTAATCTCTCTCAGCCTGGCCTCACTGCAGATGAAGAAGCTACCACCCCAACCAGGCAGCTGTGTCTTGGGAGGGAGAAGGGCATGTGTGCAGACCATGATGGCTTCAGCAGGACAGGCTGCAGACAGACTAGCCAGGCAAACAAGTCTAAAAGCAACTAGCCAACTAACTAAATTAACTAGCTAATAACTAAGCGTCAACTCAAGAAGCTAGAAAAAGAAGAACATCATAAAGCTAACAAAAATAGGAGAAATTTATGAAACTGATAGAAACCACTAAATCAGGAAACAGAAAAACAATTGAACTGTTATAAGAGCTATTTAAAACAACAGTAAAATAAGCAAACTGCTGGCAAAGTTAGCCAAGAGAAAAACTATACAATCCCCTAAGGGATTGAGGAAGTGGCTAAAAACAGGCACATAAGAATTCATGTTTTAATTATAAAAGAATACTAAGTGAAACTCTGTATAATTAAACTAGAAAACATCAATAAGATTGAATATTGTCTTGGAAAATATAAATCAAAATCAA